TTTATCCCTTCATTTGACCTATATACTGCACTCTGTTTGAGCCATTTGGGACACCTATTCCTGCACATAACCTTAGATGGGGATTGTTCCGTCCATGCGCTGAAACAGCTGAGCTCTGAAATAGCTCAATTAAATCTGAGTGTAATCACACTAGATCACTTATCACTTACTTACTGTACAGATTGTATTGCACTATAATAGTTCCTTGTGTTTTATTTGAGGTCCAATACGTGTATAATCCCAAAAGACATGTGTACGTATTAAGTCTTGTACATAATCCTTGGGCGCGGTTACTTTCTCTTTTTTTTCTCTATATATATTATTTATATATGACCACATTCTAACATGTTTATTCCACTATTTCCTCAAATGGTTAACTATGGAATAGTGAAACTATGTTATGTATCATATTGTCTAACACTGTGTACTATGGATCTTTTATAATGTGGGGTATTGTGTCTAATAGTGCTTGCCTATATTCTAGGATAATCTGGTCTATATTGCATAGATTTTATGTATAGCTTATTTTTGCATATACACAATGCTCATATGATGTGCTGCAGGGGATATGGAATGTACCATTCGTTTAATAAGTTTATAAATAGCCGTTATGCATTATAATTATTTTCTCTATTTACCTATAACAATTTTGGCCACTTCATTCTCCTGTAGTTTTTCTGCACCACCTAGTACATGTGACCACGCTCATACGTAATTACGTTATTTGACGCATGTGCGTCATGACATCATCGATACCCGGAAGTAACCTCCGGTATTCTGCAGAAAATTTCACATAACATTACATTAATAGCAAGTACCTCCCTTTATCCAGCTGATTGGTTTTAGGTTTATTAGCCTGTATCTACAGGGTATATAAGTGGGAATATAGATCAGTCAGTCAGAGGTCCCCCAGAAGAAGGCTTCATAGCCGAAACGTCTGGGTTTTCATTTCTCCTGCTCTTGGTCAGTATACCTTTTTAATGGGTGTTTGCATTTAGCACTTTATTATTATTGTGGTGTTGGTACTATAAATTGGATATACACTTTCTTTCTGTCAAAATATTTTTATGTACTTTCAATGCATGAATAAATGCTTTTTTTATGTGCAAACTTTGGTGTGCCTTGGGATCATTACTTTTCCTATTATATGTATATATCCGGTGTGGGAACAGATTTCTTCCTTAAAGAGCACCCAGTACTTTTTATACCACATTACTTATCACCCACTTTCAGTTGAGCTTTTCCTATAATTATATATTTGTATATTGTTTCCTATGTCAGGCCTCACAAAACCGGTCTCTTCTTCCACGATTGCACACTGGATCAAATGGTTGCTCACTCAAGCAGGAATTGAGCAATTCCTTGGTGATCATTTCGTCAGAGGTGTGGCTGCATCCTCTGCTCTTCGTGCAGGCAGTTCACTGTCAGATATCTTATCCTCGGAGGATTGGTCAAGAGAATCCACCTTTCAAACTTTTTATTTCATAAACCTACACCACATGCTGCGTTTTCTTTTATAGAAGAGCGTTTAAACAGCAAATATGAAGCTTCCTGTCTCGCCATAAAATTAGGGATTACTCTAGTTTGCAGTGACCGAATAATCTAAATTTTATTAAAGACAGGAGGCAAATATTTTCCTTCTCTTCGAATATTCTTCCCACCCTTCAAGGTAAGTTTCTCCAATTCTTGCCTCATCGCAAGTTTATTAGAAAACGTACAATATTGTCTGCCTAGTGAATTCGTCCATACAATCTCAATTTATTATAAATTATACATTCAATTTTAATAGATTAACCTAAATGTTTGTAAATACTTATTTTTTCTCTTGTCTAAGAGACCATACTTTCACAAAGTTTCTCTGTCTTCTCTCCTAGTGTGAAGATCTTGCATTGATTCTGCTATGCATTTGCACCATTTACTGACGACATGTTCACATGGTTGACTTAATTACAATCTACTTGGATCTGCGGTTCCTGATTCGATAAAGTTTTTTTGTTTACAAGGTTGACTCTACTGCTCATCGGCGACACCAAGAAAGAGGAAGTAGGAGGAGTCTGGTGGCACTACATATTACTGTTATGCACTCTGGTTGAATTTGTACAATCTTAACTATTTCTTTGCTGCTGGGAGTTTCACTAAATATTCGATTCCGGTATTTAATAAAATTTAGATTATGAGGTCACTGTAAACTGGAATAATCCCTAATTTTGACATATGGCAGTTTTAGAGGCAGAAACTTGGTATATAATGGCAATCAAGTTTAGAGGCATTCAACTGCTTACTCATAGACCCACGCAGAATCAGAAGCGCTATGATTTGCGCTTTCATACAGGCAACGCAAGTTGAGTATCCCAGTGGTGAAACTAATGTAAAGAGGGCCCTGGTGCAAGTATGTTTTCTGCCCCCTCTCTAGTGCAAGTGTGGCCAAAAGGTAGGTCCCCCATCTGTCAGAGAACTTCAACAATGCTATGCCAGCTGGGGATCTACCATTTGCCCATTGTTGCAGGATTGTATATGTGAACAGTGATTGAATACTTGAATGTAAGCATGTTTTTGTATAAAGTATATGTGTGCATGTATGGGTGTATTTGTATGTACTGTTGCCATCGGAATGTAATGGTGTACTTGTGTGTAATGTTTGTGTTTAAATGCAGGGGTGTGTTGTATGTACTGTTGGACTTTAACTGCAGGTGTGCTTTTGTGTGTAGTGTTGGTGTTTGCATATAATTTTAGTGTTTTAATACAGGGGTGTGTTTGCATGTAATGTCTGCATTTAGTTGCAGTGCATGTATAGTGGATGCAGTTTGTGTATATTGTGAAAAATATACATATACACAATGTTTGAATGTAAAAATGTTTTTGTATGGAGTTTGTGTGTGAGTGTAGGTGTTTGAATGCAGTTGTGCAGTGTAGATACTTCCACACACACCGACACACACACACACAAAATGACACCTGGTTATCTACACACAGATGCAGAAATACACACTGACACACGAACACACAAATACACATATTCACACAAAAGCAGGGTGAGAAAGGGTTACATTTGGGGAGCAGGGTGGGAAAGGGTTACAGTAGGGGGGTCATGGAGAGAAATGATTGCAGTAGGGTGAGCAGGGAAAAAAAGGGTTACAGCAGAGAGGTGCAGGGTGAAAGAGGGTTACAGTGGGGGAGCAGGGTGATAGAGGGTTACATTGTTTGGGGAAGGGTGAAAGAGGGTTACATTGTTTGGGGAAGGGTGAAAGAGGGTAACAATGGGGGGGGGCAGAGTGAAAGAGTGTTACAGTGTGGGGGGCAGGGTGAGAAAGGGTTACAGTGAGGGGGTGGCAGGGTGAGAAAGGGTTACGGTTACAGTGGGGTTTGGAGCAGGGTGAGAAAAGGTTACAGTGTGGAGGGGATAGGGTGAGAAAGGGTTACAGTGGAGAGTGCAGTGTGAGAAAGGGTTTCAGTAGAGGGGGCTCAGAGATAAATTATTGCAGTGGGGTGAGCAGGGAGAGAAAGGGTTACAGTGTTTAGGGCAGGGTGAAAGTTTGGGGCAGTGGGGGGGGGGTGCAGGGTGAGAAAGGGTTACAGTGGGGGGGTGGCAGGGTGAGAAAGGATTACAGTGGGGGGCAGGGCCAGACTGGGAAATAAATTAGGCCCGGGCATTTTTCAATCAGAGCGGCCCCCTAAGAAGGGGGCGGGGCCAGAGAGGGTGTGTTTTGTCATCACTAATGACAAGCACGCCTCCTCTCAAAGTGAGCATGTTGGTTCAATGCCCAGAGCTGCGCTGAAGAGCTCTGGCATTAGAAAAAGGCCCTGTATTTGTTCTGCGCAGCGCAAGCAAATTTAATAACATGCTTGCGCTGTGTTTGCTTTTAAATTGTCTCTGGTGTCTCAACAAGTGGGATACCAGAGGACAAAAGGGCCAGGAAAATGTATGGTGCATGTGTTTGGAGCCTGCTTGTGGGATTGCGTGTGTGTAGAGTGTGGTGTGGTATTGTGTAAATAGGTCAATTTCATTTGTGTTTGTGGTGTAATATGTGTGGCTAGGGGCTGTAGAGAGTTTGTGTATAGGGGGCATAGTGTTATAGGGGATGTAGCGAGTGTGTGCATAAGGGCTGTAGTGTGTGTGTATAGGTGACGTAGTGTGTGTAGGGGTTGTAGAGAGGGTGTGTTTAGAGAATGTTGTATGTGTTTGCTGACAAGGAATGTAGTGTGTGTGTAGGTGGTGCAGTGTGTGTGTAGGAGATCTAGTGTGTAAAGGACCCAGAGTGTGTATAGGAGATTGTGTGTGTGTGTATAGAGGATTAAGAGTGCATATAAGGTAAGGGATCTAGCGTGTATCTGGAGCGTAATGTATGTAGTTCTGTAGTGTGTGTGTGTGTGTGTGTGTGTGTGTGTGTGTGTGTGTGTGTGTGTGTATATATATATATATATATATATATATACATATATATATTTGGACGTATTGTATGTATGTGAGAGGCGAGTGTGTGTGTATGTAAGAGGGGTGCTGTGTGAGGGTGTTTTCTGCCGTCACATTCTAATTTTCTTTGTCTGTTAACTCACTGAGGGTTATTTTATAATATATATATATATACATATATATATATATATATATATATATATATATATATATATATATATATATATGGCTTGAGGTGCTGTTGTCTGAGGGTGCTGTGTGTGAGTGAGGGTGCTTTGTGTGTGAGTGAGGGCTGTTGTGAGTGAGGGTGCTGTGTGTGAGTGAGGGTGCTGTGTGTGAGTGAGGGTGCTGTGTGTGAGTGAGGGTGCTGTGTGTGAGTGAGGGTGCTGTGTGTGAGTGAGGGTGCGCTGTGTGTGCCTGGGTGCGCTGTGGGTGCGCTGTGTGTGCGCCTGGGTGCGCTGTGTGTGCGCTGTGTGTGCACCTGGGTGCGCTGTGTGTGCACCTGGGTGCGATGTGTGTGTCTGGGGGTGATGTGTGTGTCTGGGGGTGATGTGTGTGTCTGGGGGTGATGTGTGTGTGTGTGAGTGTGATTTTTTTATTTAAATTATTTTTTTTTTTTATTAATAATAATAATTTAAAAAAAAGTTATATCCCCCCCCCTCCCTTCTTACCTTTAGCCTGGGAGGGGGGGGGGGAACCGTTTTGCCTGGGACGGGGGGGAGCCATGCTGGCTGATCCCTGGTGGTCCTAGTGGTGAGCGTGAACTCTAGCCTGTAGGCTAGAGTTCACTCTCGCGAGATCTGAGCGTTGCCGCGGTAACCGCGGCAACGCTCAGAATCCCGCGAGAGGACCTGGCGGAGCCGCTGGATAGAGCTCCACCGGTCCTCTCCTCCCTCCCTCACACCCCAGCAAGCAGCCGCCTGGAAGTGTCTCTGGGCCGGTAAAGGGAGATCTTTGATCTCCTCACCGGCCCATGGAAACACAGAGCAGGGCCGGCGCTCAGGTAGTGCTGGCCCTGCAGGAGCCGGCCGGGGAGATCCTGTGAATCCCTCTAGAATCCCTTTAAACGGAGTATTGTTTCAAACCTGTGAAAAAGAGGAAAAACTTTGAAAGCTTGTCTTTTAAGTATTATGTTAGTCTAATAAAAAAAAAAAAAAAAAGTATGTTTGCATACTGACTTTTTGCTATATACATACTTACATAATGTATATACATTATGTATATAGCCAAAAAAAAAAAAAAAACAGTGAAAGATTCCCTACGCGGCTCGCAGAGTTTCCCCTCACTCCCCTCCTAGTCATGCGTTAAGCCGGCCTCTGGCAGCTTCCACAAGGTCAGGCACATGCACACTCTGTTACTTCTTGCGAAATTGCCTCGTTCATTAGATTATTACTCTATGAAGCATTCACTCGCATTTGCACTAATGCTTCTTTCGTTTCCAGCCGCATTCTTATATTAATGTGCACTCTGCTGATTTTGTTCGCACATAGACACTAATAGGTTGTCAGCATTCACCTTTTTCACCTATTTTGTTCCTTTATGCCATATGTATTGTTACATTTGGCCATGTTCTCATCTATTACATAAAACAATAAATAGTTGAAGCGCACTCAGACTACAAAACAATATATAATACAAAGAAGGCTACTAAAATGCCTATCTGAGAATAAATATGGGGATTTAGTTCCACCATATGGCCATATGTTGTTAAGCCCACCACTACTTTCAAAGTACCCCAATATTGGTGGGTCCTACACTAAAAATGTGGGGAACAAATTAAATAGTACTAGTGTTGAAAATTACAAGTGTTAAATTAAATCCTGATAAGAGCATAGTGAGTATACAAAAATGAGTGATGAAAGCAATTAAAAACAGTGTAAAAACTAAACAAATAATGTGTTAGTGCTAAAAAGAGTATACTCACTATAGCAGATGATATCTGTGCTGACTAGAGAAAATAATAAAAGTGACTAGACTACTGAGAAACTCCTCCTATTTATACACACCTGTGGCCACCTCTAAAGGAGCCTCTGAAGTTGGGGGGCCTGGGCGGGGTGCTTAACCCCTAAGGAATCTGGTCTGGATTCCAAATATAATGTATACAGAAAAAGGATAGGGGGCACTCCCAAGACCTGCATTTTGTATCCCCATATTTATTCTCAGATAGGCATTTTAGTAGCCTTCTTTGTATTATATATTGTTTTGTAGTCTGAGTGCGCTGCAACTATTTATTGTTTTATGTATGAAGTTTGGTCACTGCGGCAGCACCTTCCATACAAAATGCAGGTCTTGGGAGTGCCCCCTATCCTTTTTCTGTATACATTATATTTGGAATCCAGACCAGATTCCTTAGGGGTTAAGCACCCCGCCCAGGCCCCCCAACTTCAGAGGCTCCTTTAGAGGTGGCCACAGGTGTGTGTGTATAAATAGGAGGAGTTTCTCAGTAGTCTAGTCACTTTTATTATTTTCTCTAGTCAGCACAGATATCATCTGCTATAGTGAGTATACTCTTTTTAGCACTAACACATTATTTGTTTAGTTTTAACACTGTTTTTAATTGCTTTCATCACTCATTTTTGTATACTCACTATGCTCTTATCAGGATTTAATTTAACACTTGTAATTTTCAACACTAGTACTATTTAATTTGTTCCCCACATTTTTAGTGTAGGACCCACCAATATTGGGGTACTTTGAAAGTAGTGGTGGGCTTAACAACATATGGCCATATGGTGGAACTAAATCCCCATATTTATTCTCAGATAGGCATTTTAGTAGCCTTCTTTGTATTATATATTGTTTTGTAGTCTGAGTGCGCTGCAACTATTTATTGTTTTATGTATGAAGTTTGGTCACTGCGGCAGCACCTTTCATACAAAATGCAGGTCTTGGGAGTGCCCCCTATCCTTTTTCTGTATATGTTCTCATCTATTGTCGTATGTTTCATTCTTATGGTGTTCGTGCATTTACTGAAATATGCTCCATGCCCTCTAGTGGCATCAATCTACATTACATCCTAGATTTTTAAAAAATGTTTATCCCTTTTTATATGGTATAAATGATGTCTATTTTATATGTATTTATGCTTGATAATTACACTTCATTGATTCCTCTGGTATTGTATGCTTAAATAGAATTCGGGACATTTAATTCATGTCTCATAAATTGTGTTCTTGGGTACATTATTTCTTGTTTAACCCCTTAAGGACGGAGCCAAATGTACACATTGTGAACAAAACAAAATGTAAACAAAACCTGGCATTTGCGCTACATGTCTGTCCAACCGTAATACACCTCTTTCATAGTAAATGCACCCACCCTTATTATATATCATTTTATTCAGGGGAAACAGGGCTTTCATTTAATATCAAATATTTAGCTATGAAACATAATTTAATATGAAAAAAATGGGAGAAAATACGATTTTTTTTGATTTCTTTAGTTCTAAATTGCATTTTAAAGGTCAGTGTCATAATACTCTTTGATTTTACTGCAATAAAATACACATATTTGTATTTAGTAAAGTCTCACGTGTAAGACAGTACCCCCTATGTGCAGGTTTTATGGCGTTTTGGGAAGTTACAGGGTCAAATATAGCACGTTACATTTGAAATTGAAATTTGCCAGATTGGTTACGTTGCCTTTGAGACTGTATAGTAGCCCGGGAATGAAATTTACACCCATAATGGCATACCATTTGCAATAGTAGACAACCCAAGGTATTGCAAATGGGGTATGTCCAGTCTTTTTTAGTAGCCATTTGGTCACAAACACTGGCCAAAAGTTAGCGTTAGTATTTGTTTGTGTGTGAAAATGCAGCGCCAATTTGGGCCAGTGTTTGTGACTAAGTGGCTACTAAAAAAGACTGGACATACCCTGTTTGCAATACCTTGGGTTGTCTACTATTGCAAATGGTATGCCATCATAGGGGTAATTTTCATTCTTGGGCTACCATAGGGTCTCAAAGCAACGTAACCAATCTGGCAAATTTTAATGTGAAAAAAATGAAACGCAAGCCTTATATTTGACGCTGTAACTTTTGAAAACACCATAAAACCTGTACATGAGGGGTACTGTTGTACTCGGGAGACTTCGCTGAACACAAATATTTGTGTTTCAAAACAGTAAAGTATCACAGCAATAATATTGTCCGTGTAATGCTGTTTGTGCGTGAAAAATGCAAAAAACTTCACTTTTACTGGCGATATCATCGTTGTAATACATTTTACTGTTTTGAAACACTAATATTTGTGTTCAGCGAAGTCTCCCGAGTAGAACAGTACCCCCCATGTACAGGTTTTATGGTGTCTGGAAAGTTATAGGGTTAAATATAGTGCTAGCAAATTAAATTCCCTTTACTTTCGGCATGGGTTGTCAGGCAGGTCCCGCTAATTGTAATTAATTAAGATACCTAATTATGTAAAAATATTACATAAATATATATGTAGAATTAATATATGTATATATATACGTATGTGTATGTATATATATATATAATTTTTTAAATATTTTTATTTATATATAGGTATATATATAGTGATATATACGTATATATTTATGTATATAGATATATATATTATTTTGTTCTACGTGTATTTTGATATATATATATATATATATATTAATTTCACAATACAGTTAGAACGAAATAACACACATCTATATATTTTTAATTATTTATTTTTAATTATTTTTAATTTTATTTTTTAACGTATTTACATTTTATTTTTTTTATTATATATAAATATATATATAACAATAATTATATATATATTTAATCAGTATCAGTCTACGTGTAATTTGATATTAATATATATATATAATTATATATATATTAATAGTAAAATACACCTAGACGGTGTATGTGTGTGTATGTATATGTGTATATATATACTTAGATCATATATATATAATATATACATATGATCTAAGTATATATAATTATTTTTTTTTACACCATTAACTTATTTCATTTTTATTTTCAGCCAGCAGGGGGACCACCTGTCATTACAGGCAGCCCCCCTGCCGGCAATACAGAAGCCAGCTATCCCCGGCCATGTGATTGTGGGGTCCTCGCTAGGACCCCACTCTCACATGGCCGGGGGGCTTCAACGAGGACGGATGTGCCGCGGGGGGCTCCCTGGGAGTCCCCCCCACCGCGATCGCCGGCGACCGGGTAAGTTAATAAAAACCGGAGGGCGTACAATTACGCCCGGCGGCGTTTAGAGCCGCCTATTAGAGGGCGTAATTGTACGTCCTCCGGTTTTAAGGGGTTAAGGTTGTTGTTTATATTGTGTTTTGTTGTTAGATTACTGAAGGCTCGACTGGCATCGACCACAAATGGTGGTTTTCTTTAAACATTACTACTGGGATAGGTGCATATATTTTAGCTACGACTCTCATTAGCTTAGCTACTGTTCCCGTGGAACTCCCTTCCCTTTTCCGTTAAACGCTCACCCAGTCTCCATTCCTTCAAAAAATCATTAAAAACTCACTTTTTCACAAAAGCATATCAATTAAACTGTTAGTGGCTCCTATCTGATTCCTCTCCTGCAACTGTTATTAACGAACAAAACGAAAAAAACACACTAAGTCTTCAGTGAATACTATTCTACCAATTTACTTCCCTTACCTTTTGTGTCGCTTTATCCCACTCCCTCTAGGATGTAAGCTCATTGAGCAGGGCCCTCAACCCCTCTGTTACTGTGCGTCCAACTTGTCTGGTTACAATTATGTTTGTTAGTCCACCCATTGTAAAGCTCTACAGAA